CGTGCAGACCCCAAGGATCTTCCCAGTTACCCCTCACGTGGCGTCCAAAACCTCGAAGCCTCGGCCGGCAAGGCTGCGTCATTGGCCGCCTCGCAATCGAAGTCTCCAGAGCTGTGGAAACCCGATCGCTTACCGGCTGCTGGTACGGCTGCATCCCTAGCAAACAATATAAAATCGCCAGAACCCTGGAATCCAGGGCCGCTACCCACTGCTGCTGCTGCTGCTCTCCTGGCCGGCGATTCAAAACCGCCAGAGATCTGGCGACCCTCCACCCCTTCAAAATCAGCTTCGCAAGCTGCAATAAGCGTAAGACAAAGAGCACACACGATGCCAGAATCAAAACGCTCCCCGCCACAATCAACTCCGAATGCCCTCGCCGCAGCCGGCGTCGCAAATTCGCCCAAAAAACTCTCCAAACCCGCTCCCAAGTCACCACCTACACCTGCCTACGACATTAACAAAATTAATGCTCTGGCTGCGCAGAACGCACAAACCCGCCTTTCTGCCGCTTCGCAGCCTAGGTCAGCGCTGCCGCAATCGCAGACCGATAGGAATATGTCCGATATCCTTCGCGCGGCTAGCATATCTATGGCCAAAAATATGAGCAAATCACCTCCCCCTACCACTTCAAGACCTAATATGTCATCAACTACGTCCATGCCACCTGGCAGCTATTATTCGCATATTCCTACATCACCCAAAAAAGTAGCACACGCGGAGCCAAAGCTTAACCGTAAATCCTCAATGCAGGCGGCATCTATCGCTGCTTCCAGCGATTTACACTCTGTTCTCTCTGGAGATAGTGATGATAGGCAGATAAAATACTACCCACATCTCGAAGAAGCTGCTCGTAAAGCTGCATCAGAGCGTCTTGCACGTCTTCAAGCGGAACACGATCGGGCTCGTAAAGCGTCCGGTCTCCCACCTAGCTGGCAAGCTGGTGGAAAAGCACCTACTGGCACCCGCGCCCGCTCTTCAACCGCCCCATCCAGCACTCCAAAAACGGCACAGCCCGCGAAGCCTGCTGCTGCGACTACCACCGCCGCCGCCCCTCGCCGCCAACCAGACGCAACAGACTACGCTCGCTCCATGAAAATCAAATCCGACACCGCAAAGCTTACAAAACAAATAAACTCAGTCGACAAAGACCGCCAAGCTCGTGATTACCTTGCCCTCCTCGCCGTTGCCGAGAAGAACGTAAAGGCTCGAATGCAGGATTTAGAAACCAAAGTTGCCGAGGATCAAGGACGAGTTCCTAAGCATCTACAAGCGGAATGGGATGCCAAAGCTAAGATGTTGAGCGCAGAGTACGAAAGGAAGCGAGCAGAGGAAAGTGAGAAGAAGAAAGGGAAGATCAATATGGGTGGTGGGTTATGGTATGATCAGGAAGATTTGGAGAGAATCGCTCGGGGCAATGTACAGCCGATTTTGGATGAGATCAATGTGAAGGCTGAAAAGGAGCGGGCGAGAGTCGAGGCTCTGAGGGTTGAGAAGGAAACGGCTGATCGGGAGAAGAAAGTAGAACAGGAGAGGGTTGCGGGGGTTAAGGCCGAGACTAAGAAGGCGAAAGGTAAGAATTGAGTTATTCGCTCCAGAAGCAGCCTTAGGTGCTAACCTATCGATAAAATAGTTCTGGAGAAGGCGGCTGCGAAATCCCGTCGGGATGCCGAGAAGGCTGAAGAACGCGAACGAAAGGCAGAGCTTAAGAAAGCCCAACGAGAAGAAAAAGAGCGAGTAAAGGTCGAAAAACAAACGCAGAAAGCAGCTGCCATACCGCTACCCGCGGAATCCTCTAATCTTGAAGAAACTGCGGGTGTAGGAGCAGACTCCAGCTCGGATATGGAAGAACTCGAACCACGTCCCATGTCACAAGCTGGCCACGACCGCGTAGACCGGGAACGAGAAATGCATGAGGCGGCGAAGAAGGAGAAGGGATGGTTTGGGAGTCTTCAGAAGAGGCTTGCGAAGAGGGTTCCTGGAACAAAGAAGAAAGACAAGGGTAATCCCGGTGGGGAGGTAGCTGCTATGCCGAATGTCGCTGAGGTTGATGAGTTTAACCCAGCAGATAATCAGAGTATTTCATCTATTTCATCCCCAGAGCGTCCAAACTCCGCGAGGGATGTAGCATTAGCAGGGACAGTTAGTGGTGTTTCGTCGGATGATGAGGTTGAGCCCGCCAGAACAGCGCCCGTGGGTGGGAGTGGGTTAGGGGCCGTGGATGCTACTACGGGTGTAGCCGCCGGAGCAAGATATGCGGCCTCAGATTCATCCAGTACAAGTTCCGAAGACCTATATACTGCAGAGCCGAGGTATAAGGGGTTGACATCTGCGACGTACAATCCTGGCCTCGAGGATGAAGGATCAGGGATGCCAGCCTTTGTTCCAGAGACTAGTAGGAGGTATTCCACGAGTTCGGATTCTTCGCTCGAGAGTGGCTTGGTTGCGGAGAAGACTTTTGGGGAAGCGGAGGGTCAACATGTACCCGCGGGTAGACCGGAGGAGAGAGAAGGAAGGGAAACATTTGGGAATAAACTTTCCGGGATGGTTAAGAAATCATTTGAAGAGTTTGCGAAGGGGGGCACTGGTGTAGAGGTGCCAAAGACGTCCACGGAGACACCAACTACGGAGGTCGTGCCGCCTACGCCGATAGACGAGGAATTGAAAGTACCGATTGTGATGCCTGCTGCCGCGGCCGAAGGAAGCACAAGAGCCTCGATGGATAGTACTCGGGAGAAACGGTCTAGCCGGTTTAGTGAGATTTTGTAGGGGATACACGGTACATTACGGAGCTGTTTCGATGCTTTGTCCTTTATGCATGCGAATGGATTGTCCTTGCTTATTTAGCCTGTTTTCCTTTCATGAATTCAGATGACGGTACACAATGGGTTTAAGGCCTCTGGAATCGCGGTTTATGATTTGATACGGTTTGATGATATGCTAGCTAGTTATGCACGAGGAACGAGAATACACAGGGCTTTTATATCTACAAATTCCATTACTTTTTCGCTGGCTATGCACCTACCGTAAACACCAAACGATGACATCCCCCTCCCGTCTTGAATCGTCGTGGAAATGACTGTTGAAGAATCTCTTACAACCTACGTACCTCCCTCTTGTTCTCCCAATCATCAAATAGTCGCCAATGAGGTTCGCTGTAGCCTGAAAGGTAACCAATTTATCAGGCCACTTCATCTTTCCCACATCTCCCTCCCCCGTTTCACCTCTTTGCGGTGGTCTCCCAAACCTCCGATATAAAAATTCTATAGGGTTATTATAAAATTCATCCGCCTCGTCCTCATAATCCCCCCTCTTTTCAACCGGTATCCCGACAGGCGGCTCACATGTTAGAAACCAGGCGCTCAATTCTTCGTCCTTAATTGCAGCATCCCACATGTAACTTCCAAACGGCGTCGAATGACACGGCATCAGGAATCCCACTCTTGCACCTCCCAAACTCACATCCTTCGATGTGCTCGAATAATGTTCCTTCCTAAGCCAATTAACCACATCTACCACGCCTCGCTGGTGTACATATCCAGTATAGTATGCAATGGGGATATTAATCCCCAACATCGCCGCCACCATAATCCACTTTTTACGCCCATTTTTTGGCAACCCCGGAACACCGATTCCAGCCATCAAAACATGGAATATGGGTAACAGTGGGTACAAGAACCGGACTTCTTTATGCTGCGTCGTCATAAACGCTACGGGTACGATTCCCAACAGCCTCGTTAAATGAGTTGTAGGAGAATAACTCGACGGATCGTTTAAACCGCCGCAGAAGGAGTAGAATGCTAATGGTAAGTAACCGGTGAGTAGTAAAGGAAGACCTTGGGAGTAGTAGTAATGCCAGGGGCTTGTGCCATAGAACGAGGATATGGATTGTGAAACGTTTAAACGGTAGAATTCGATGAATGGCAGGGTAAGACGGTTGTAGTATGTATAGTCAATGAAAGCGTTAAGGGAGAGTACTAAAAGGCTGACGAAAGCTATGTGGAGGACAGCACGGAGTCGCTCGGAGAAGCTGGGGAGCTGTTGGAGGATTAGGGGGCCAATTGCCCAGGTTATTAGTCCATTTGTGGGGCGGACGGTGAAGGAGAGAGCAGCGAAGATTGTGGCGAGCGTTATGTCGGTTGGCTTATATGTTTTCCAGGGCCAGTGATACATTCCCATGATCGTTAAGGTTGTTTCCAGACAATTTGAAAATGTTCTGGTGGAGCAGAACCAATTCCATGCACTGAAGATGCTCAGCAATAACTATGAGTATAAAAATCATCAGTTACGGTTTAATAATACTAGAAATTTCATATGAAAGGAGTAAATGACCTACAGCGTATGTCCCTGCTTCCTTTCCGTATAATTTCCTTGCCAGAAGCCCTGTATAGACGTCCCCGGCGGCAGCAGTTACAGCGCCCACGATCTTTGGGGCGACGACCAGAAGCTCCGCAGTGGTAGCAGGGGAGAGATTCCATGTATTTGATATAACATCTACGAGACTGTATGCCCCCAAGAAGATTCGAGGATATAGCACCGAGCGTAACGCATGATGCCATTCCTGATAAAGCAAGTTTTCGTATGAGCAATCAATCTATTTATATTGAAGTGGAGGTTTAAAAAAAGGAGATAATACCCAAGTTACATATCCAGAACTCCTAGCCCGCTGGCTAGCCGCAATCTCGAGGGATTGGAAGTATTCATCTGGTTGGAAGAATGTGGTAATCGTAAGCGCGTTTTGGAGTCTGATTCCAAGGACAATCAGAAATACGAAGAACGGCGTGCTCTTTGCGAATATAGACATCTTCCGCAATCTTTTGGAGAAGTGCGGAGTATGGCCAGATGGTTCTCCGGTATGAACGCGACGTGGACGAGAGGTCAGAGCTGGTCGCCCAAGGCGAATTCGAAAGCTGGCATTTGCGTTGGGACCAACCCATGTTTGGCTTTGTTCAAGGTGGACTTGACAGCAAAAAAGAAAAAAAATATCAAAAAAAAGTCGGATATTCCGACACCGGGAATCGAACCCGGGGCTGTTCGGTTCCAGAGAACAACTTGTTATTCCATGAGAGCGAACGATGTTAACCACTACACCATATCGGAGTGAACTTGTGATGTGGTCATCAATCTTTTATACTATATTCTTTTAGTATTCATGGAAGAGAGCTTTGCAACAATATCAACACAATTGTAAAGCCGTCGGTGCCGACCGATGAACAGCACGAAAATCGGGACCTTGGACTGGACGGAACAGACTGGAATCGTAAACGAAGCGGCAACGATCAGACCGGTTGAACCGGACCAGAATACCGTAAGCTAGCCTCGAGAAAGTGAACAAGACCAGTCTCGATCGCGATCCTCGGACCTCAAATTATCGACATCCTGTCTAGTGAGACGACCACCCGCCCATACACAAAGGCTTATGTCAATAGGGCTATAACAAACACTACGCTACCAACATTCCGACAGCGTAGAGGATTCTACGGATATAAGTGTTTACGGTTTTTACTCTTAGGCCTCGATTCGGGAACCCCTAGAGCCCTCGTGACGATACTTGGAAACTTCTGATATTTGCTACAAAAGTTATTGAAAATGCAGTGCGAGGATATCGATATAACAGTAAATATAACTTAAGTGATATTTCTAACTAGAGCAAAGACTGGGTACCGTATACGCCATGGAATGATTTATGATCCCCGGCAAAAACAATAAACAATGAAGCGCCCCAAACGCCAACGGTATGTACATGCCAAAATCCCCAGAAATATTAATAGCAATTAATGCAACTACTAGCCATGGAAGAGACATCGTCCTCTAGGGACTTTCGTTCGCACGGGTTGGATGAAAAGTAACAACAATTAGAGACATGGAACTACCTTGCTCCGCACCCGCTATTTCAACATACTATCGTGGCCGCTAAGAGCAACTCCCTTACTACCTGGCACCTAGCCCGGCAATGCGGCCTCCGGCTCCTCCCCCTAGGATGTTCCCCGCGGAAACTGCTGGCGCTATGGCAGTCGGCGGTGCTGGAGTAACCGCCACTGGTAGACTTTGCTCGTTCTCCCGTCTTTTTTTGGCATTCCTCTTCCTCCTCCACCACGCGAAAACACCAATAATGACAACTACAGCGAGAGCTGTGAGAATGTTGGTTAAGGCAGTGATCGCTTTTTCAGTTCCTGTTTCCGGAGGAGGGTTTGGGGTACTCGTAGGAACGTTGGTCCCTATAACAGCGGTGGATTCCAGAGTTGTAATAAAACTTGTAATGGTGGTAACGGTGGTGCTGATGGTCGCGGCGGTTATGGTGCTTGTAATGGTAGGGACTTCTGAAACAGGGCAGGCAGCTGTAGTTACTTGGCATGTAGAAGTCTAGTTTTTCTACAATATTAGTACTAGTACGATGTGTGATGCACCGGTGGGTAAGGGTTGGATTTGAGGATGTTGGAACATACCTCGCCTTGCTGGATCCAGCCTGTCTCTAGGCAGAAAGAGTCGGGGTCCTTGACCGTAGCTTTGGGGTATTCGCAAAAGTAGTCTACAAGACTCAGATAGCAGCCATCTCTCTTGGGTGAAGAACGCTTATTCGACAGAAAGCATTTCCTCAAATCCTCCTTGAATTTCTCCATCTGTCTCTTCTTATTCGTGTCGACAATCATAGAGTCTATATTACCCGCCGCTCGAAGAGATGGTGGAGAAACTAGGCCCATGGCCCGAGTTTCTAAATAAAATAATAGATTCAGGCTTTAGACGCCTCGAGGGATATCGGTAGTGAATGTAAAACGAGGAGTGTCGATGCCTGAAGATCTAGTGGCTCGGTTTGAGACGGAGACTCAGATAAACTGAAATATTGACTACGGCCTCGACTCCGCCTAGGCGCCTGTATGACTCTGGTAAATGGTATATCTGTAGAAAAGGCTCCAAGCCTGCGAGTGACCGGAATGAGTACGGTGAAGTTGATTCGACATTGTGAAAACTTTTATTAATAGCTGGTATTATGCGTGGGAGCCGGCGAAGGAGAGCCGTTTGTACATTAGGTTTGATGACGGGAGCGGCCTCCAGATCAGATCTGCGGATATGTTTGCCAGACATGCGACGTTTTCTTTCAGAGGTCTTCAACCCCAATTGCAATGCGTAACATTGAATACATGCACCCGAATATTCAGAAGCAATCATCAGGACAAGTAAGTATGCATGTGGTTTGAAGCTTGACGGTGTCAGGCTTGAAATTTACTCCTTAGAGATGTCCAGACGCTTCTGAAACTAGATGCATAGGAATCCTCAGAGTCAGTTTGCTAAGTGATCTTTAAGTCTCGACCACGATGACGAAGATATTGATTGATGCGAATTATTTTGAACACCTGCGGACCCTATCCGATATATACGTTAAGATCATAAGCCCATATCTATACGCTGGAAATAGAGCGAATTAACTCCGGCTCGAAATCGCCGTCGCGCAATTCAATGCAATGGCCTATTGCCAGCACTTGAGGCCGCGCCTCAGTTGTAGTTTTTGTCGGATTAGCCTCAACCTTTTGCCCGGCGCCATGGCGCCAGATGTTACTCGGTAACAAACAAATGTTCGAATGAAATGATGCGTCATGCACGATCGAAGGATTCAAAGTTTGCAAACCCCCAGGAGTAGTTCACCCTCGCCATGAGAAAGGCTTCGCCGCATTGAAGCAGCAGAGACTACTATTTTCGCGTCCGCCACTGTTTCACCATCGTCAGGCCCAGATTTGAATAGCAAGGTCCCAACAATACTGGACTTGGACTTCGTACACCCGCTTCGCTGGATATTAATCATCGCCACTAGAATAGTTCCAATGCAAACGAGACAACAGCTCACGGGCCTAGCACGGTCTGATGATATCCCAAACACAACATCCAGAATCCCACATTCCAACATAGCCTCGAATTCATGCGCCGGTTCGAATGCGGCACAACATGAATGTTGATATTTGAACAATGGCCAACTGGTCAGCTGTTAGGCATGAGATGATCCGCTATAGTTAATACCAAGAAAAAATTTAAAACTGACCGCCTATATAACAAAATAGGCATTACGGCACTTGAAACGAATTCCTCATAGTTATACTAGGCCAGTTGCATCACTAGAGTTAGCGCCAGGTGAAGGACCCAGTCAATTTGCGAATCACGGGTTTGAGAACATTTGGCCTAACTAGATCACGTCCGGTTTTAATCGTGTGCGCAAGGCTCCAGTTCATAGTTCTTCTGTTGCGTGCGTTGCTTATATAGACACCGTTGTGTCAACATATGTCGACACATACTCTGTGTAGATACATTATATGCCGAAACGTGCCCATAACGCCAGCTCGAACTCCAAGCCAGGTAACTAGACCCGCCAGCGTGTATACATCAGATTGTTATATCAGTATTCAAACGCCTAAAAGATAATCCAGTAAACATTTTAGTCTCTAAACCAAAGATGTTTACTATGAATATATGCCTTCGGGGCCTTCCGCCACGAAAATCCCAATTGTTCGTACCCCGATCGATAGAACAAAACGCTCCCTACAGACCACATCATTAAGGTAGAGAGCCTGGCAGCTTAGCTTAACACACGGAGTTCTAACGCCTTGTGAAAGTCTAAAACCTGTATCTATAATTGCAACCCTCTTTAAAGGTAACCCTAGAACCGCGGTTGCATGGTCGCCTGCCAGCCCCGTACAACACGTTAACGTCTGCTTTGCTTCAAGCGCCCAGATTTGAGGCCACTTCAAAACCCGATGACCTTCGTATACATGTAGTCTTTGCATTGTTAGTAGTGTGCCTCAAACCTTTGCACTGCACTTTTACATCTTACGTCTTAGCTTGTTGCTGGTATTTCATTCATACATTTTCGTTTATTAAGATACTCCTACCGCTCCACCAACGCTCTCTAGGCAGACACTACTGATTGTTATAGATTGCAACATCTCGAGTCGGTCGTCGGAACCCCCTAGAAACAACCCTGAATTTTTGAAGTCTCCGGAGCAGTCACTAGTAGTAAAGCGCTAGTAGCGGAGAGCTCTCGAGGGTGTATTTAATACCCGAGATATATCGATATATCTCCACGAGACTGATAGATCCTGGCTCAAATTGGTCATCAACCGGCCCCCAGTAGCGACTGGTTCAAATCTTTCCTCCGCTCTCATATTAAGCTCTCATTTTAGTCTAAGCTTGCAAGACTCTCTCGAGACCACTGCCGCAAAACACGTGAGCTGATTCTATATCAGCTATAGGATCAAAAGAATCCCATCGGTAAAAGTCTATAGGCCCTATATATAGGCCCACTAGCGAACAGCCACATTCCGTTCCGCCCTAGTGCTAATACGTAGACGCTTACACATATTTTTCGTTTACGAGCCGCTTCGTACCTGTACTCAGTGTTCAAACCCCCTGACGACATGCTTGTCAAAACAAGTATTTTAGCCCTGTGGGCCGTTTTCCTGCCATCTTTTATCCCTTTGAATTTAGTTCGAGTAAGTCGGTGCGACGCTGAGCTCGGAACATTTCGTATATGACTCTGATGAGAGGTTACTAATTGGTACGGTCTAATTCCGCCTCAGGCTTTTAGTTCTCTTATTCCCGAGGACACTAAATACCGCAATGGTTATTCGTTCTACAATCGAAACGCATCTTGGTGCGAGATTGAAGGCAACGGCTGCCAGCAAAATGTTGCGTTCTTCCAAAATTGGATTTTACGGGTTACTCATCGTAGCTATGCGATTCAGTCCGGATTAGGACGAGTAAACGCTACAGTCAATGACAATACTCTTTGTAGGGTTCCATACAACCCTGAACCAGCACCAGAAGTAGATTGGAATACTACGTCTTCGAACCCAGCGCCAGGAGATCCTAGCATCTACTTCGACTATTTGTATCGCAAGTCTACAAGAATTCTTTCCTGTTTGCCTGGATCCGGAGCGACCGTTCGTGTATATAATTGGCGCCTCGCTAACGACAGCTCGCCAGATCTGCAAGTATACTGTAGAGATTTGATAAATCTGGCTGACGAGATGATGGAGCTCACGGAGAGGATTGCTCTCGAGGTACCGGTCAGCTATCCTCTCCGTGTTAACTCAACTTATTCAGAATTTGTTTAT